AGGGGGCGATGTCGTTCGGTACAGAAAGACGCTTCTGCAAAAGCTACAACCACATTGGGATATCAGCGACCCAAATGCCAAACCAACTGGATGGGAAGACCGGTGTGTGAGCGGCACCGGGTGGGAGAATCCCCATCCCCATGACTTCAGAGTCCATAACAGGTCGATGAACTTCCGAATGGGCGCAATCACAGACTGCGGATCACGACTCGAGAATGAGAGCACAGAAAAGATTTCGTGCGAAGTTCGAGTCAATTGCGGATGTGTGATCATTGCCCCGTTCTCGTTAATTTTCGAAGCCATAACGGCCGTGGAAGGATGCTCCTTGGGTGGTACTTCAGCAACATTGGAGGAGGACAGGATAGTGCTGAGGGACGGACTGGGATTGGTGCAGGTTGGAGACATTGGCAAGGCTTTCAACTTGGTGGCATACGGAGGGAATACCGACTCCCACAGAGCATATTCTAGCAGCTGCAGGAGTACGAGGATTCATAAGTCCGTGGTTCCAAAATTATGGTGGCCGACGGGCAGGGCATTGGTGAGGGAAGAATTCACGCATGGCATCACAGATTCGATGAGGGATTATGGGTATGTGCAAACTGGTGGATCGGGGAATCTTCTGATATGCAGGAATCGACCGTTGGGGCAGTATAAGATCATTGGAGTTTGTGTTGATGAGCGGGTGGAGAATAAAGGCGGAGAACGCACAGTGACCATACGCTAAAGGATGGCGGCGGGAAAGGACACCGAAATAATGCTTAATGATTTGCTTTTCGATCACGATGTAGTGGTTCTCTTCCCAAGCTTCTTTTAATAAGGGCTTTAACGGCGCACAAATTTGCTGCTTATGAATGCTATTTTGTCTTCCTTTTTTGTTACAAACCTAGACTTCGCTGCTGGTTTTATCCGTTGTTTGGCCGCAAAAAGGGGTTCTACTCGCTTAACATCCTCGCTAGTACGGCGAAACACAACATCAACACAACAAACAAATCAAAGAAGAGAAGGTCCGGCGGCAAACTGGAAAAATAAAATCATAAGCTGCCGAACGGTGAGGAGTGTTGTGCTTACGATGTGCGCCACAAGAATATACTGCATATACGGGGGCTCACTAGAAGTACAATCAAGAGGAGGGATATTCTGTTGCCAGAAGGGCATCCTTCACTACATGAATGTTTCCTAGCAATATTGCAGCACAGCCCTAAACAGGCGAACAATTTCCAACCATGTGCCATGATCATAGACTATAAGCTCCAAGCAGAGGAAAATGGGAGCCTTGGTAGGTGGGGGGGTCTTCGTGGTAATGGGGATGTGGGAACGCGCAGTCCTGGAAGCTATTGAGAAAGACGTTGTTAGCGCACACAGACAGCGGGTCAAGGATACCTTTAACACGAGGTGTGTATATTTAAGTGTCCTGTCAACATATTAGTCTTCGTTTTCGTGCTGTTGTGGATAGCTAAGACAGCTTGAAACTTGTTTAGTTTGTGGGAAATTCACGTAATTGGTACTTGTTGTATTAGATGGTAAATCAATTGGAGACGCTTAACGGTCATAAATTGACGTTGAAGCCACATGGACTCGTCTTGTGTTAATAGATATACTTGAAGTCAATAGAATAAAGAACATTTGAAGTCGATCTGGGGCTATCAGACAGTCAGAATCTCAGGAGCACAAGTTTTGGTAATTTCTATTATAAGTCTTGATTCAACAATGCAAGCTGCTTAAATTATTAATCTACGTTTTGACTTTTGGTAACTAGAAGGATCAGGAATTTTCTAAACTAAATTTGGCTTCGCATGGAGACTTCCAACAGAGAGCCTCTTTGGGGTTATGGATTGAGTCTACAGGCTACCACAGTAAGTTTTACCATTGACATCAACCATTGTTGTGCCAGTCTCAATAATTGCCTTTTTTCATGCCCATCTGGCCACAGAAAAAGCCCCAGCCAATTTATTCTTCTTCGCAAAAGAAGCTTTTGCCGACCGCGCTGGATTGCGAAACTCGAAAGACACACACTCCGTATTCGGCTCATAAGATGCTGCCTGGTTAATTCGTGCCGCAATATTTCGACAGACTCCCGACCCCGCTTCCCCTTGGAGATCTCGACCAGAAGAACCAAAATTGGAAACCCGAATAATTATGAGGCTCCCACCACTGCTTCGCCTCTGTGCCTCGACCATTCACTTGTAATCGTCAACATTGTCAATGTCGCTTGTAGTGGCGCGAGCTCTACTATTCGCCTAGTTGTCGCACTGATTGAGTCAACAACACGCTGCCTGGTTGGACGAAGTGCTTAGCTTAGAATTTCCTACATAGTGCTAACAATCCGCTTTTCTCGGTTACTTAAATCATTTGAACTTATTTTCTTCCTCGAAATTTTGGATCGGAACACCAACCACAGTGCCCATCTCGAACTCGGTCATCGCAAACTCGAAATACCTCAGCTCCTCGGGTATCCCAACCCCCACTGACCCAAATTTACAAGCTCAAGTAAGGTTTCCGCCTCAAGGCGCGCGCTGTTAATCAGGTCAACAGCATGCTAACGGTTTTAATTCCTAGAAACTCCGCCTATACTCGATGAGATATCAGTATGTCCCTCCAACTTTCTCACAGGAAACAATTTGGCTTGGGCCTCGCCACCCTCCACGCTGAATCCAGGGAGCTATCCGCGTTCACGAGACTCCCCGCAATCTCAACTGCCGCAAGAAAGAGCTTCGGTACATAATACAAGGAAGAAGAGCTTGGATACCACTATCGTCTGAGGTACTTGGTAGAACCCTTGGTAGAAATCCTGGGCGGATGGAGACCATTTCGAACAATAGCCCAACGCTGAAAGTCGTTCTAGAAACCTTTCGAAGTCGAGGTGGCCTGAACATCTAGCCATGAGCCGATCCTTCTTCGTGATTTCTCAAATAGTCGCTAAGCTGCTACCATATTACTGTTCATGGGCGTAATATTTGGCTAACATCTGGTGGCAGGGAAAGAAGTAACTAGTCCGGGGAAGCAACACGACCAAGTATTTTACAGTAATGCTCTGATCTGCTCGTTCTGCTGATTGTTCTAGTATTTCAGGTTCTACGAAACGCCAACGGCCGAACATTGCAGTTGAGGTATCCGAACTCCTGCCTGATATACTACGACGTCAGAGAATCGGCTGAAGAAAAAGAATGACAATATCTCGTGGCTGATGTGCAAATCGACAAGGAGATTGATCCCTTCCTAGTCCCGACCAAGTTACGCAATCGGCCCACTTTAGCAGCCGAAAAGCAGTGCTTTTTTGCTTTAGTATCGCCGATGCTCTCCTGGGCGCATTGCAGCCACGAAATATGTAAGTTTGATTCAGCTGCCTGCATTACTTTGATACGGATTTCGTTAACGACTGTAATTATAGTTCTCAGAATTTAAGCAGCAGCGTAGCTTGCAACCCGACTGAGAGGCTTTCCTCGACATATTTGTAGCTGCCCCAGCACGAAAGTGACTTTGCGACCTTGTGCACTGGAAACTTGTACTGATGCCCTGGATTTCGGACGATCTAGGTACACCAGGTACAGTTCCTCCAGGCAGTCCAGCACTTGGAATTCCACCTGCTAGGCAGGACTACGTAAGTTGGATGTTTCCATTTTGTTAGAGCAGCTTGGCGGCAACTCAATTTCCATCTCTTGTGTCTACATCCACAGTGTATCCTGCGTCACCTCCCTGGAATTTCCCATGCAACGGAAGCCCACCAGGTAGTGTCAGGGGACGAAGAATTGCCATTTGGATTCAACGGTGCCGTACCTCTTCATCCGACCTGCGCAGCTCTCCAAAGGAAATAAAAGACAGTCTCAGGTTCCAAGCATCGATACGACAGAAGAATAGCACTCACCAACAACAAGAGATTGGCATTTCGTCGTCCAATCCACACTAAACTTCTCGGTGAACTATCATAGGTAAGTCCGAGGCTCCCAACCATGAGGGGTTACATGTGCTAACGTGAATTGGGGACATAGAACGCTTCAACCCACGGCACCCAGGCTCATCCCCCGGCTCCTACAATGGGTATTCCGTCGCCTACCACAGTCTTTCGAGTTAAGGTCCTGAATACAGCTCCACCGAATTGGAAATACCGCCCAGGGACGACAAGAAACCTCGCATACGATGATATTGGGCTTCGTTGGAATTACATTACCTTCAGGGCAGGTCGGAATCGCCTGGCGCATCGGTCGAATGTCAGGAGAATGGAAGACGGGCAGTATCTTGCCCATTGGGCCAGAAAGATTGACAGGTGGAGGCAGGGTTTATGGTTTGCGGGATGGTCATTTTGGAGCTGGATATCACAAAGAAGGAACGCGCTGCCTAGAAGTCTCCGGCATGTGGGGGTATCATAGTTGGAAGCGGGAAGAAATCTGGGTTGGTGGACACAGGAATGCACTGGCTGTTGTTAAAGTTGGCATGGTGAATTAATCTTGGAGGTTCAGCCAATTTTTAGGGCAAGGATGGATTTAGTGTGTCGTGGGTGGAGAAAGCTGTCTCCAAGTCGCTGTTCCTACTTATATTCAAGGCATGTTAATCAAGAAATGTCACCATGCTCTGCTGCAGAGAACAAATCACGTCTTCTACGTTATGACTCTCAATATAGATACAGAAACCATGCAAGCTTTAACCAGTCTGAAAGTCCATATCCTTTGTTGGGGATAAACGTGGCTTACAGTCAGTTGCTGTTGAAGTTCCGTTTGCTTAATCATGTCAAATGGGCAGCTGAGTACAGGTGGGCGGTGAGAGCAATTAGAGACAAAAGAATGCTTCCATTGGACCCTGGAGTACCTTCATATTTGATTTTCAAGCCATGGAAATCCTGAAGGCAAAAGATCAGATGCGGGAGCAAACAACTCGCTTCACTTACTCACCACATTCCAACCTTTACGGAAACAAACAAACTTTCAAAAAAGCATTTGAACATTAACTATGAATTAGAAAGAAAGAGCTCCAAAAAGAAACATAAGATACCTCTTAAATCAGATTTGTGCTAGGCAAGGGGTTCGAACCCTTGTTTCCTGCTGCGTGTGTTACCCTAGCAGGGTATTTGGGAAGCAGACGAGTTAACCACTACTCCAGCCAAGCTTTTTTGTCATCTGAATTCCAGACTTATCCACTTGAGCCATTCAAGTCATATGTTTGATTGATATGTTTCTTATTTGGAGATATACCACGGTTTATTGTTTGCAAAATTTTGAGATGCAGTCACCCATTATGGCAGTCACGAGTCTATCAGGTTCGAGCTGAGGGAGATGGATGGGGAGCGGTTGATGCTTGGCTTGGCGGGGTGAAGTGGGGCATTTTGGAGGGGTAATTATTTTTCTCAATTCAGTGACAGGAACACCATTATCCCATTCCATTACCAAGTTTATGATACGGGTAAGCTACAACACGACAACTCTGTCTCTATTTGTATCCCCTTACCTACAGTCATAATGACAGATGAACCACCCCTCTCCTATACAAATGACGATTTCGACGACGTCTTTGGCTCCGCGCCATCCTCTCCCTCACTTCTCCCCCACCAACCCACCATGGGCAACCTCGAACCCTCAGACATCCCACGCCTGCGCGAAAAACACGAAACAGAAGGCTACAGAGACGGCGTCACGAAAGGCAAGGGGGAAAGCGTACAAGCGGGTTTCGACGAGGGGTATGGGCTAGGCGCTGTGCTGGGGTTGAAAATCGGGAAGATTTTGGGGATTCTGGAGGGTGTTCTTGCGGGGTTGGGAGGGGAGGAGATGGGGAGTGAGAGGGTGAGGGTGGAGAAATTGGTGGGAGAGGCCAAGGAGGAGTTGAGTACGAAGAGTGTTTTTGCGAGGGAGTATTGGGGGGAGGATGGGGTTTGGAGGTTTGAGGTTGAGGGTGAGAAGGAGGAGACTGGAGAGGTGCTTTTCCCGGATGTGGCGGCTGCGCATCCGTTGGTGAGGAAGTGGGAGGGGCTTGTGGAGGGGGAGGTTAGGAGGTGGGGGTTGGATATTGGGATTTTGGATGGGGAGAGAGAGAGAGAGAGGGAGGAGATGGATGATGGGGGTGTGAGTGGGAAGGGTGCGCAGGGAAAGGAGGTTAGGAGGGGAGAGGTGGAGAGTGAACCTGTTGCTGCGGGCATGGCGAAAGTTCTGGGGATTTCGAAGAAGGACTTGAGTTGGTGAAGGGTCGAAAGGATGGTTATCAACAGATTTCTGCATTCTGGATGACAGTGGTGGCGGTGGTGCCTGTCCGGAGACCAACGAGAAGGAGAGAGAGACTGATATTCGTTATGCGACTCTGCTCGAGCAGCATCAGTATTCCCTCCTCTCTCCAGGGCGGCAATCCGAGACCTCCATCTCTGACATATGGAGAGACCACCCGAGACCTCCCCTCAACATCCAGCCGAGCAGCCAGCCCCAAAGCTTGAGGAAGCGTAAGAAGCTTGTCCGGAATACAGTCTCCAAAGTAAAGGCCGAGGCCGTGCCTCGTGTTCCAAAGGTGATGGAGATCATCTGGGGAAACACAGTGCTATTTTAGTTCCCGTGTGAGCTTAATCAAGAAAAGCCCCGAGCCTGATGTCAAAATTAGATGTGGTGTGACCCCCTTTCTGCAGCCAGATCGTCAACCTCAACAGTAACTACCGATGAATAACCCCAAACTCTCCACTGCGTTAAAATAAACACCTAAGCAAGATCGCCATCGAAGCTGTATTATGAATACCTAGGTAAATGAGGGGGTACAATGTCCATGCTACTTCCAGGCGCCCAGCCACTCGCTCTTTTCTAGTTCCCGCTGCAATTTGCTTTAAACCTCACTAAAATGTCCGTTTGCGCATCCGGCGCACCTCCAGAGCCGAAATGCGCCTCTGCACGTTGATGGAAATTAAAAGAAAATCTGGACATCACATTGTTACAGATCGATGCACAGAATGGGGTAGACTTCGAAATAATTGAGACGGCCGTGCCTTCCTCTCATTTCTTCATTCCAACGTCGTCCTCGCCTCCGTTCCTTCCGTTTGTACAGTAGTTTCCAGCTATTTGATATCGGCCTCCTTTCGCGAGTCTCTTCCTCTCCTTCTCCTCTCCCCTTCTTCTTTTTCCTCTCCTCCTCATCCTCCATTCCGCATTTCCGTATTCATCACCTTTCATACTTTCGTTCATCGCGAGGCCTCGGTCTTGCGCGATTCTTTCTCTCTTTACACTACCTACTGCACTCATTTCATTCTCTTCTCTACACTCCTTGCATTCAAATCCTCACCTTCAATCCGTTTGTACACACTTTATCCCTTCACAGTAAGTCGTCCAGTTCCACATCCCCTCAATCCAAGACCGGCATCATGCAGCCTCCCACGTTATCAGGCAATTGCCGTTGTACCACCCAGCAACGCAGAATCACAAACATCACCCACAGCACAAAGAGCGCTCCAAGGAATATATAAAGCTCTTGGACACCCATTGACTTGATGCAGCTTTCGGAAACATGAAGAATACTACTCTTCTTCTCGGCCTCGCTGCCTCTGTCTCCTCGAATATCATCTTCACACATGTGCCTTTGACCTGCAACCTCACAGATCCACGTATATACCATGGTTGTTTGCGCGGTCAGGATTGCAATATTGCGGGACAGTGAGTTCCCTGATCATGAAACACCTCTGGCAATGCAAGAAATAATATGACTAGGTGTGCTCCTCGACAGCGCCGAGATCTTACCCAATATTTGACCTTCCGACCCGAGGTTCAGGAGATTCAAAGTAGAGACGGTCCATACTCGACTGATGGTAGCTGCGGCCCAGCACACGGAAACACGATCTGTGATCCAAATAGCAAGGTCTATACCGGTGGATGCTGCTCGGTAGGTGGAGATCTTCGAGGGAAGCGCACTGCTGACTGAAACAGGAATATGGTTGGTGTGGAAATACGTCAGGGTAAGTCTTGAAAAATCCCTCACTCGACACGGGGCTGACCAAAATAGGCATTGTGGTGCTGGCTGTATCTCTGGATGCCCTTCGGGCCCTCCCCCAACAAGTTCTGCCACGGCTCCTCGTTCAGACGGACAGTGTGGTGCTGTAAGTTCTGAACTCCACCGAGAAAGTCTTGTGCTGACATTCCAGAAATTCGGCGGCGCAACCTGTGATCCCAAGGGTCAATATGGAGGTTGTTGCTCTCAGTACGGGTGGGTGATGGTGCTCATTGTCTTTCCGTTTCGCTCATTACTTGCCGTTTATACCTACCATTTACCTGACCATCTATTTCTCAAGATTTTGTGGATCTACCCCTGATCACTGCCTCATTTCAAACAAATGCCAAAGTGGCTGTACAAAACCCTCATCCAGTATTCCCACTTCTCTCACAAAACCTCAACGTCGAAGCCGGCATCCAAGCCCCATTCCAGCACTCACAAAACCTCCACAACAAATCAGTACCCAAGACTTCCACCACATCTACCAAAAATCCAACATCAACACACAAATCATCAACAAAGGCGACGGCTAGCCTAAAGTCATCCACATCCAAAACAGCCACAACAGGAACTGCTCCTCGAAGTGACGGGCAATGTGGATCCAAATTCGGAGGAGCTACCTGTGATCCGAAAGGACCATATGGTGGCTGTTGCTCTCAATACGGGCATGTCAACTGAGAGGTTGTGAAGATCGAGTGCTGACTGCTGGTTCGATAGATTCTGCGGAACTACCGATGGACACTGCCTGATTGCCAATGGCTGCCAAAATGGCTGCAAGGACGGATCCCCAACTGCACCTACGACATCCGGAGAGCCTGTGATTGGTCCGGTTAAGACTTCTATGGCACCTGAAGCAACTGCAACTGCTCGTGTCACAACCGACGGCACATGTGGTGGTTCAAACAGCGATACTGTGTGCGGAAATTGGCCTAATGGAAACTGCTGTTCTATGTATGGATTCTGGTAAGTGCATGATCCCTCGAATAATGTGTTCGTGTGGGGTGTCTGACAGACGACAGTGGAAAGACAAGTGCACACTGTGGTGCCGGATGCCAGTCTGGCAACTGCTTGAATGCTCCCGCAGTTGCAGCTCCGGGCGCCAGCCCTGCACCAGCTGCTCCCAATGGAGGAACATTTCGTGTCGTCGGTCAAGCTGGGGTTCCTGCTATGCACGCCGGTCTCATGCCAAACGGCCGTGTTTTCTTCCTGGACAAGCTGGAGAACTACACTCAGTTGAGGACTGCAAATGGATATTATGCCATGTCTTCTGAGTACGACCCCAACACAAACACCGCCGTACCGCTTGAATATGCCACCAATGCTTTCTGCTCAGGCGGAACTTTTCTTGCTGATGGTCGAGTTATCTCTGTTGGAGGCAATGCTCCTTTGACCTGGTTGGACCCCAACATCGGTGATGGTTTCAACGCCATTCGCTACCTTGGCCGGTCGTCGACAGATGGAGGTCCCAACGGAAAGGGCTGGAGTGAACCTGGTAACAAACTTGCAAGTGCTCGTTGGTACGCAACTGCACAAACCATGCCGGACGGAACAATCTTCGTTGCATCTGGAAGTTTGAACGGTCTCGATCCAACAGTTCTCGCAAACAACAACCCGACCTATGAGATTCTCAGTCCTGACGCCGTTACTCGAGGAGTCAATATTGGCATGGCGATTCTGAAGAAGAACCAGCCATACTACATGTATCCATTCGTTCACCTACTCAGCGATGGTACACTGTTCGTCTTTGTATCGAAGGCTTCCCAAGTCTTCAATGTTGGATCCAACACTGTGGTCAAGGATTTGCCAGATCTTCCAGGTGACTACCGCACATATCCCAATACCGGTGGCAGTGTTCTTCTTCCACTTTCGAGCAAGAACAACTGGGCTCCAGATATCGTCATCTGTGGTGGAGGCGCTTACCAAGACATTACCAGCCCAACGGACCCCAGCTGTGGTCGCATTCAGCCTCTCAGTGCCAACGCCAAATGGGAGATGGATGCCATGCCCGAGGGACGTGGTATGGTTGAAGGAACTCTTCTTCCTGATGGAACCGTTGTCTGGATGAATGGTGGAAGCCGAGGAGCCCAAGGATTTGGTTTGATGGAAGCTCCTGCTTTGGAAGCTCTCCTTTACGATCCAGCAAAGCCACTTGGTCA